CCTGTTGGACAGTATGTTGTGCTGCTTTCGGTTAAAAAAAAATTATGTAACACGAGGGAAGCAGCAACAATCAAAGTGATTAAAAAAAATTATTATAAATATCGTAAATAACAGTTTACAAATGCATATATACAGATATTTTTTGAAGGGGGACAATGGTCTTTACAATTTGAAATCGATCGAACACACTGTGCGCGAATGCTCGTGTAAACGCGCGCCATCTATCGTAGGATAAATGTACTTCGCGGGAGTGTATTAAAAAATTAAAAAACTTTTCAAAGCTTCATGGCAATCGTACTATGCCACAAACCTTCGCTGGAGTATATTAAACAACTTCCCAAAGTTTCACGGCAATCGGATAAACGGTGTGGTAATGCATGAAGGACATAGGACAGACACACAGACATACATTCATTTTTATATATATAGATAAATAATAATAAAATAACTATAAAATTAAAACTAAATAATAATTTAATGAGTCTAAAATATTGATCTGTAAACATCTTACCATAATTGTAGCAGTTGCTGTACCGTGTTGTCCTCCTCCCCAACATTCTCCAATGTTTGGGCATTTTGCTTCTTCACATACCTAAAAAAGTAATTTACTTAAAATATAAAACAGTAAATTGTTGATTTTATGATCATAAATAAATAAGAAACTGTCTATTAACAGAATTATATAAACATAGCAAAAATATAATAATGACAACTTTGAGTTAGATTATGACAAATTTATAGAGAAAACAGAATTTCACTATTATAAGTATTTGATTACCAATATAAATCATTAAGGTAAAAACAATAGATATTCTAACAGTAACTGTATGAAATTTTATAGCATGTTATAACACACAAATTTCGATGTTGAGACTTACAAAATATACCAAATCATCTATACTAATCTATACTAATATTATAAAGAGGTAATGTTTGTAAGTAAGTAAGTAAGTAAGTTTGAATGTAGCGGGTAATCTCCAAAACTACTCATCTGATTTCAAAAATTCTTTCACCAATATTTAGAATGGAACTTCAGGGTGGACATAGGCTATATATTATTCCGTTAAACATTCATATAAACTAAAAGATATAATCTAGGTTAAGGCTTTTACATCCAACAGATGACACTACGAGTACGACTCCCTAAGTTTGCTTTTCTGCGAGGCATTGCGCTTTTCTGTGAAAATGAACTAAAGCAGATCATCATCTATCTATCTATATAAATAAAAATGAAATGTTCATTTGTTCCTACCGATTCCTTTGAAATTTTGACACAATGCTGCATTCGAATACGCACGTGTTTTTATATAATATACGTGTTGAAATTCCCCCCCACTGATGGGAGATGGTTAGGATTAAGGCTTACCGTAAAGAACTCTGCTTCTATTTATACTACTGTATTTTAGATGTGGTTTTTTGCGTTTTTGATTGCGTTTTAATAGGGTACATCAAGAGAATGTACACTAAGAAGAAATTTTTCGAAAAATTTCCCCTCACAGGGGAAGTGTTATACATTTATAATAGATACATTTTGAGCCACAACAAGGCATGGTGGGGTCTGCTAGTCAAGTACATTTTTGTAAATAATTATTTAATTTTATTTAAAATAAAAAATGTTTTTTACCAATGGCCATTTTAATTAAAACTATTTGTTTTTTTAATTTTTGGTTTTATTAACGGAGAATGTTTTTAAACTGTTTTGCATATTTTTACAGAGGCTTAACCTCTAATAAAAGGTTGTTTCTGTAAAGAGTGTTTCTTCCTGGTGAGTGTAAGTGAAAACACACTTAGTTTCTTCAATATGTTTAATAAAAAATATCTATTTAAATTTATTATGAAAAATGTTTATCAAGTTTATTGCATAAGACTTCTTTAAATGAGAATTTTAACATTTTTAATATTAAAGATAACTGACGTAAAATGCCACAAAAAAACTAAATTTACAAAAACTTAATTCCTTAGCATCATGAAATATAAACAATAATATACTGGGTGTTCAGAAAATAACGCACTTTGGAAACACCTGACAAAGTAAGAATACAGCACGATATGCATGTTCTGTCAATTGTTATGTGGAATTATGTGAAAATTTAACATAAAATGTAGGAATAGCAACCTTTTCATCATATATGCATAATATTGACTGAGCTATAATTATGAAGATGTCTTAAATTGGAAAAAGTTTAATCAAAAATAAAATTACACGTTAATTTCATTTTTCTTCATTTGTTGAAACAAAGAAAGAAAGTTCTCTTGTAACCTCCAAGAAAAATGAAAGTATTTTTACCTGTTTTTTTGAGGTGTTTGAAATAGGAATCCTGCACTACCAGACAGTATGCAAGGAACTCATAAAATCTTCCTCAACCCTCAGGTCGGTCAACCATTACCTGTGTGAAAGCATTAATTATGTGTTGTCATAAATCTCCGACATTTTAAACTGCTGTTCATTTATGTAGTCCTAATAAAAAAAGTAATCTAATGGTATCAAATCAGGAGAACAGGGAGACCATGGATAAGGATATCCTCAACCAATCCACATTTGTGGAAAAGAAGCATATAACCATTCACTAACTGGAAGATCCCAATGGGTAGGGCTCCATCAAATTAATAGAAAATGGCAATATCAAGAGCTACCTCTATGATCAGTGATCCAATATGCTCTACTAAGTTCTCCAAATACTTTTAGGAGTTAAATGTGCCAGCAATAAAAAAAGCAGCTCAAGAACTTGTCAGCCAAGTAATCCAACCAAATGTTAACACTCTGCTGACACTGAGTGTATTTCATTTGCAAACAACATGGATATTCCTGTACCCAGTAGTACACATTAGTGGAGTTTATCTCACCACAAATGTAAAAAGATGCTTCATCCATGAAACAAATTTGCCTGTGAATAGTTGGATCTAAGTCAGGGGTGGCCAACAGTTTTTGCCCCAGGTCGGATGGAAAGAAAACTTTTTCCACGGGCTGAACCAGAGGCTGCCCTAGGAAGATTTTGAGGTGGTGCGAGATCTCATTGTGGTGTCACCCTGTAGAGACTGAATTGTAGACAGAGATTACAGATATATTTTCACATTATCATACTTTATCAACACTCTATGCTTTACTTAGGAGATTTATAATGGATGGTTAACTCTAAACACACAATGAGTTGTTGACCTTTTCTTTTTTTTTCAGGCGTAAGAATTTTTCATCGAGCTATTCGGACTTCACTACCTAATATTGAAAGATTGATCGCGGGCCACATAAATTCATTAGACAGGTCAGGTCTGGCCCGCGGGCCGTATGTTGGCCATGCCTGGTCTAAGTTGTCAAAATTCATAAACATTTCTGCAAAGTTTATGTTTTCTTGTAGTCTTCAGAAAGAAGTGCTTGATGATATTGGGACTTGTCCAACAAAATGATCACCTAAATGATGACAAAACCTCTTGAGAATCATATGCACAGAGGATGACCCAATTCCTGCCTACAGAGCCACAAGGCAAATAGAAGTAATTGGGTTTACTGTGAATGTGGCTGTTTTGACCATAGCATCATCAACCATTATACAACTCCTGGGTTTCCCAGGTTTTGCTATATCATCAAGTTATTTGTGCATCAAAATTTACTTACCATTCTGAAGATTGTATTAAATTGGGATAGGGCCAATTGGGATGCAATACATGGAATCATGCTGCAACAACCCTTGTGCTGCCTTCATATATTTCATTGTTATACACTGTTTGCACTCTGCTAAACTGACTTTAAATTTCTGTCTGACACACTGTACTACAACCATAGACACAGTAATTTGCAATAATTGCCATAACAACAGATGCTTGCAATGTACATCTTTATTGCTAAGTATTGAAAATCAACATCAGGAATTATATCGACAAGTTTTGAAAGTCTTTGCAACTATAAAATCTGAAAACCTATCACATATGGGAGGTAATGTACAGTACATGTAACTATCCATCAGATTAATGTTGTCAGGTACACCACAAGAGCACCAGATGATGTCAAGAATGCCGTCTAGCATTGACATCATACGTGCTTAGCTGGAGGACATTTTTGCTTCATCTATGGTGCTATATTTTCTGAACACCCAGTATAAAAAAACTACATCAAGAATATAATGTGCAAGTATACTATACTTAAATTAGTGACAGAAACCATAAAAACCAGTATATTAAACTTAAATAATCATATATATATATTATTCTAAGTTGTTATAAAATTTAAAAAATTGTAGAGAATGTTTACAATAAATTGCTATAAATTTATATAAGTGCTTTCTATAACTATGTCTTTCTGGAATATTATATTAAAATTAGAGTTACAATAAATTCAAATAAATGCAATATATAAACATTTTTTTCCAATAACATTATTCAATGTAATAAACACAATGTATTTTCATAATCTTGCAGAAAATGCATAAATCAATTAAATTATTTTATAACTTTTTTAATATATTTATTTCTTTTCTCATCTTATTAGTCACTCACTCTTTAATCTGAGCATGATTCCAATAGTGTTAAAAAACATTCTTTATTTTTTGATATAAATAAAAGCCTAAAAATGCTTGAAAAAGTGATTTTTATATAAGTATAACAAACATTGCAAACCCCAATATGTATATAGAAACATCACCAAATGATTGCTTAAATAATTTGGCTAAAATTCTGCTAATTTTAATAAATAATACTAAGTAATTTGCTACTAGAGGTAGACATTAGATGCCATCTCTTAACTGTATTATTAAAAATTATAATTATTAATTTAATTAAAAGATAACACCTAACATCTACCTCTAGTAGCAAATTACTTAGTATTATTAATTAAAATTAGCAGAGTGATAGCCAAATTATTTAGGCGATCGTTTGGTGATGATTTTTATATCTTTTTTTCTTTTTGTTTTAGTTTATGGAAAAGTTAATACAGTAGGGTGGTGCTTATTTTCACAATTTGTAAATGTGTACCTCCCACCCTCTATTTCCATTCCAATATATATAGAAAACATTCGTGCCAAAAATCTACTCCATTGGTGAATATTTAGTGGTAGCTTAATGTCACTGAAGTTTTATAGGTTTCAAATAGTAAAGCCTTGGTCACACTATGCGATTTCCAGCCGCGCAGGCGACTGCAACCGCGACGGCTGTTCCCGTTAACTGGTAATCCCCCCTCGAAAACCGGCGCGACTGCAATCGCAACTAGAAACAAAAAGTTTGTTCTACTCGCGACGATTGCAAACGCGCATCCAATCAACAAACGCCTTTATGCCACGTCATACAGTGACAACATTGAAAATAGTTCATCATCATGGCGGATAGTCAGAGTATTAATACTTTTACAGAATCGAGATTGATCGAGCTTATTCAGGCTCACGAATACCTGTGGGATTTTAATTCTTCGTTTTATCGAAGATTTTATCTTTTCATGTATTTTCGCCAGCTCTATTAAAATAATCGCCTTTTTTCTTTTATTCATTCCAGAAAAGGAACTGCTTGCTATTTTAATAAGAAAAGTGGCTAAAATTCCATAAATACTCTGAAGTAAAACGTAAAATATCGGCAAACTCACGAAAGTAGTCAAAAACAAGCTACTGTAAT